TCTCTCTCTCTCTCTGTGTCAGAGGGTTGGGACCTACCTGTCACCGGCTTGCAGGCAGCACCTGTGGACAAGTCTATTGGTGGTCGAAGGACTTTTGCCGCGGCATGCAGGTTGTAGACGCACGCCATCGCACGCCTTTCGCTGGCATATCTGGCAGCAAAGATTGTGTACTAATATCAAGAGCCGAGAACTTGCACTGGTTCATGGCTCCTTGCGCTAATGTCCGGTCAGTCTAGCTGGTGCCGTTTTTGCAGCTGGGGGGAGGTGGGGCTTCGAAGCAGATCCCGTACAAGCCAGAGAAACAGACAACTGGATGTAACAGATGCCCTAAACCCTGAACCGCCTAAACGCCCAGCCCCCGATGCCTAGGACTCCTCAAACAAGTCCAGTCCGTAATCATCACTGTGTGTCTTCTTTGCTTGATCTAAGCCGTACACGTTGGGAGTTTCGGCTTAGTCTCAACAGCGAATCTTCGTTCTAGTCCCTCCGAAGCACGGGCTTCCGGTTCAGGTGTGCTTGCTCCTCGAAGTTGTTCTTCTGTTTGAGATGTCGCGAGCATGGGTGTAATCGAACACTGTATAATAACTCCATATAATACTGCATAACAACACACCTATGCGCTAATGAGATTCTCTTGCATTTAGGCAGAATCTTCCATGTTGACCTACTGGAGAACACGACGGAGTGCCCATCCACCCCAAACTCCTGAATGATGAGCAACTCCCTCTCAGGATCATGCCGATACAAAACCTGCTTGCCCAAAGCGCCCCCCCCCCCCCCCCCAACGTCCACGATTCCTTTCGGAGGCCGGATGCGGTTCACACACGGTTCAGTTTCCGGTTCGGCGGTTCGCGTAGCGTAGTTCCTTATTGATTGTCTTTGTTCATGAAACCCAAACTTAAAACCTCCTGCACGCCTAGACCTCAAAACCCAGAAACGCAAACCTTCGCAATTTGTGGACAACTGATCAACCGCAGGATTACCGCGAAACTAAGAAGCAAAGCGTGCGCTTGGAGCATGAACTGCAGCAGTTCGCCTCAGATATGAAAAGGAGTTCCCAAAGTTCTTCGATGGTGCTTGGCAGCTGCCAAAGTCGGAAGTCGACACGGACGAGGTTGTCATCTGATCAGTAAAGGTTGCCTTCAAAACCACCTCTGGCCCAACTAATGTAATCTAATGTATAACGAGGATGCCCGTACAGCAAGCTGCCAATTTACATGTGTCGGGTAATGTACGAAGACCGGCAGCACATTACGAAACCCTTATGATGAGCATTTCCCGGCGGCCCGAAATCCGCCGACCAAGTTCAAAACGTCAAAACATAAGTACAAGATATCGCGCTCGTTGCAGTTGCGCGCGGCATCCCCCATCAGGACCAAGGAAGCGCTTCAGCGCGAGCCAGGCGACAGGCTGCGGAGAAGGGTTTGTTGGCTGGATATGTGATCCGAAGCCGTTGAAGGTCGACAGGCTTGTGGAGATGGTGGAGGAGCTCCGTCAGACAGGCCAGGCATGGCTTCCTGCAAGACGAAGTGCTCATTTGATTCATTATGGCCAGGTCAGTCCAACTCCCTTGACGGAGAGGCACCGCTCCATGTGTCATCAGACCAAAACGTGCATCACGCACCACATCACAGAACACTTCGAACAAAGGCCACGAAGTAGCGATTGCCACCAATGACCGATGACCCTCATGCAGCAGCAGCAGCAACAACAACAACAACAACGACGACAGAACGCAGGAAACCAGCTCCAGAGCAACACCGTCAAAGAGAAAGACACGAAGAAGAGGCCAGCAACGGCAACAGAAGCAACCGCAACCCCACGAGCACAGCAGCAGAAGAGAATGCAACTTTTTAAGTCGTCACCATATCCTGGATGGTCGTAAACGTCTCATCATCGCAACATCATGGACTAGCAGCCCACTAAGAATAGCACCCGCCGACGTTGAGGGCACTCCAGCCGAGCGCTTCTTGCGAGACGGGGGTGGCAGCCGCTCGGTGAGCTTTTTGCTTTAATCCCTCCCCCCAGAATTCAAGGATATTTCAAGATGCTTCAAGGGTCCCCCGTCCCCTTAATCACCAAATTTGGATTTGGGCCGATTCCTTGTACGTCCCTGTGGCTCCTGCGACCTGCAAGCCCCCGTTCCTGTGGCTATTTGCGGTTTGCAGCCTGCAGTCCCGGGTTCCTGCAGCTGCAGCCCGCTGCAGTCTTACGTTCCTGCTGTCCTGTCGCCTGAGGTTCCTGTTGCTCTGGAAAAAGTTTTGGGAATGCAGCTTCTGGGAAAGGAGCTCAACACATCACATTTCGGTACAGGCTCACCAAATCATGGGGCTTCTTTAAATTCCTGGCCGACTACAACAACCGGGAAGATGCTTCACGTTCCCATCCCTCAGCCCTGTCAGCAGTCCCTGTTGACAGCCCTTAGGAGTGCTCCTAAGTGGGCTCCAATTCGACAGTTCCGGACTCTTCCTCCTACTTTATACTATTTCTTGTACTGATCATAGTAGTGGTCATGCAAATGAAAATAGGACCAATTGTCGAAAAAAAACACAATCCCCCCCCCCCCCCCCCCCGCCCCGCCGGTAAGTATCACATTTTTTGTGCTGGAGGAGGATGCAACATACTTGTTGCAATTACCGATTTTTGACCCTTTTGAGGTTGGCTACTTTTCTGACGACTGTCCTTGTTGGGTCTTCCTCCTGATGTTGGAATCTTGGTGTGTTTGTCTTCAGACGCTTAGTCTTTGACAGCTTCTGCGGGTCTAGTGAGCATTTTCTTGTAGACCCCTGTGTATGCAAGACCTTGGTACTCTTTCCGGGCACATTTCACTGATTCGCTTCTCGTATTTGGTGCTTTTCGATCCACAGTGTCGGTTTAGTTGGGGTTTGATTTTCAGTTTGTGGCTATCGTCGCCCGTTCTTGCTCGCTCCTTTCCGCCTACGTATTGCATCCTATGTTTGAATTGCGCCATTGTTGCTCAGTGTCGTCGTTTGTGCTCAAAGTGCCTTGTTGCCGGCGTTACTTGCTGCTTACCTCCCATGAAACGTGATGCGTGATGCATGTGTCTCTGTCCGGTACGTGTATGCATGCATACATACGAACATACGTACATACGTGCATGCATGCATACGTACATCATCATACGGATCATGGATATAGATACTTGCTTGCAGATGCATCTGTCCTTGCCTCAAAATCTGGAAGAGTAAACTGCACTGGAAATCGCGAAAATATATGTTCACTGTGCCTCTACTTTTTCATTTGTTGGTTCCTTTCGTTTGCAGTGCCTGCATCTGAGCATGCCAAGCCCAGGGCTGGAGCAGAAATGGCACCTGAGATCGGCCTACGAGGATCACCAGAGTCGTCGTCTGTCCTTCGCTACACCAGCCATTCCAAAGTTGTGCATGGAGGACGTGGAGCCGCAAAGCAGTGCCGAGACGAAAGTGATCAGCAATTCGAAGTATGGACTGAGACTCAGACCAATGATGACCAATGCAAGGAGACAACCTCTCTTTCTGTCTGTTTACTTGACTCGCACGAAGGCTTTTGCGGCTGCATCGACTACATTTGGCTGAGCTGCATCCACAGTCGGCTGTTTTCTTCAGTGCCTCAAACGGATGGACCTGGAGCTCCTTGCCTTTTTGAGGCCCGGACTTCCAGAAGTGCCGCCTGCGCCGGCTGCGGCTGCCGAAGCGGGAGGAGCTCGAGCTCCCCATGGGCGTGCAGCAGGCAAGGGCTAGGGCCCCCGCAATGACCCAACGCGCTTCTGTTTGGGATAGACTTTCATCGCATCACCCGCAAGCACCGCCTCAGAGGCTGGGCCACTGCCATCACTGGTCTGCTGGTCGTGGCCTTCTGACCACTGGCCATTGGCCATAGATTTAGAAGTCTCTGCTATGCCATCGAGCAAAAAGTCGCTGGTCAGTGGTAGTGTCAGTGGTAGTTGAGAAGTCTGGTTAGGGATCTGCAAGAGCTCGTTAGCAAAGAGCAACGATTTCAAGACAAGTCGTCATCACCCGCATTTGCCAGGTGCATCTTGTTGAGCTTTTGGCAACGTTGGCGAAGTAGCCTGGTGCTGAGTTCAGCTTCGAGGTCTGCATGGGCTGATGGTAAAGGCCGGGTCAGCACCCCTCGTGAGATACTCGTGTAGCACAGGTGTTGTAGATGCTACGACGTAGAAACCTACTCATTCGATGGCAACGAGGCTGTATCAACTGATCTTACTGCGCCATGCAAATCGCACAGGCAATGGCACCGCCTGACAAAGCTATGACATGAAATGCAACGTCAGGCTTACTCGAACTGTCTGTTGCCAGCTTCTGAAATTACCTTGGAGACCAGACTCATGATGCAACGTAGCTTCCCTTGTGCCCCTGCAGATTGCACTCCTTGAGGATGTAGCTCAAAAGCTCATCACTGTTTCATGTTTCCCAGTCGCACCAAGGCCGGGCCAGATACATATTCGATGCGAACAGTTCGCATTCAATTTTCAGCTCGTCACAGTTACAGTCCAGGCACAAGATTTAGCTTGATGTGTTCTGCACAGATCTCCAAGCGCAAGAATCAATCGTGCAAAAACGCTGGGCGAGCACGCTCGCTGAACTCAGAGATAGGATGCCAGCTTATCCACATGATGAGGAGACTTCTGTGCACGGCATTGGCACATAAATGATCCACCTCGTTCCCCGCTTGCCTAAGCAGCCGGGAAAGCGATCCCACGGAGTCGTTGCTGTACGAACTTGACTTGTTTTTCCGAGCTAACAACAGGTCACTTATGCGGGCCAGTTGCGGCAACTTGAAGATCAGAGAAACTGCAGTCGCGGTGCAGAACGTTTACAAGTCCGCAACTTGCACCCTTTTGCCAAACCCAATTGTGGAGAACGTGTTTCACCGTCCACTCAGCTCTTTCACAGGACATGGATCCGTAGTGAAGAGAGTGACCATGCAGTCTCTATTCGTTTCATGGGCGGGTTGCGTCCCATGGGTCCTACGGACACAACTGGCAAGTTCAGTTGGTAGTGGGCAGACCGCCTTTTTGAGGCCTGACTCGCGTAGAACTGACGGAAAAGACCTTGCATGTTCTCATTTCCGATCTGCGGGATGTCTCATCAAGTATGCATCCAGGGGATTTCCGAGCCGTTACATTCATCAGTACCAGAACTGACATCATTCATTTTCACGACTCTTGTGTTTGGATCACCTTCGCGTTGTCGGAATACATGTCCAGTGTACGATGAATTTGCGATTCGACATCTTGGCTGCGGTTCATCTCTTCAAGACCGTGGCGGTGCGTGAAACTGAGAATTAAGAATTAGGACGCCTGGACATCTTGGGTCCCAGTGACTTGACAGGTTCGCGATATTGGATACCTCACAGCTTGTTTGTATTTGCACAGAATGTAAGGATGCACTTCTGCACACAGGCAAACATATCAATGAACATATGACAGCGAGCTTACAAATACTAGAAGATTGTGATATCTGCCGATGTTTCTCTTCATATTATGGATGCACGCTTACAGTAGGACCCCGATCATCTCAAGTTCAGCCTGGACATAGATATTCTTTGTGGTGTTACTTCAGCACATATTTGCATACCCCAGGTGATTGCCTAAACTTGCATGGAAGGTATCTATTTTCGCAGAGTAAATCGAAAGAGCTCTGCAGTGCTAGACTTCGACAGCTGTTCGCAAAGTCGTGTGAAGCAACACTCGCATAGCAGACTTTTCGCAACCGTAGCCGCATGGGATGGTGAGGAGGTATCTCAGACACCAGCTCCGACATCTTGTCTGTCTCATCCTTCTACTAAACTGGGGTTCTGTATGATCGCAGATAGACGAGACACTGGGTTAAACGACTAATGGGGAATGAAACCTGTTGTCGTACTTGGCACGCCTCACGGTGGACCAAGAAATCGCCCGAATCGCCAGAGTGAATCTGACTTGTCGTAGAGTCGTAGATTTGCCGCAGCAAGATGACGTGACTCTGATATGCACATGACACCACACACACATATTGATAGCCTGTTTAGAGAATTAAGATGTTCAGCTTTTGGTTGCGAGGCATTTCTCTCGGCTCAAAGCTCAAAGCTCGGGGGAGTGCAATACGTGCACTCTGTCATGTCAAGGTCTCGAACTCGGCATTCCAGAAACCTGCTGATCCCATAGCAGATGCTGAACATCTGGTGGTGCGGCTTCTGTGGTTCCTCCTACCTTTTTCTGGCTCCTGCTAAATCGCACGAACAATACATATTCCACGGTTCCGCCAGCATAGCCCTGCGGTCGTTGAAGGGTCCGCGGGATGTGTTAGTGCAATCTGCTATCTGCTATTTTTCATCCACCGATCAGCAGAGTGACACTTCGTTGCCGAGGGAAGGCAAGCTTGTGGCTCGAAGCGGCAATGCTGCCAGGAGGTTCAAGGCAAGCTTCGAATGCATTCGCGTAGCGTGTCAACTCTGGCTTACTTGCAGGCGTCTCTGGCAGGAAGCCGTAACACAGATTTCCTCAAGCTAGTGGAAAGAACCGAGGTGGGAACCTTCGTGAAGTGTTGCACAGATGTGGTTTTTGACATAGACCAGCGCAAGCGAGGGTGCTTTCCAGTCTGGCGATGACACGGCCGTGGAGGACATGAGTCATGCCGTGCATGTCAGTGCATACCCATGTACTCACCACGCCAAACGATTCGCCCGTCTGTCTCAGGAAGTTCGACGAATCCTGGCGGACGTCCGTGCCCAGTACGATCAGGTTCATCTCGAAGCGGAACGTCGGGAGGCCAGCTGTCTTGGGCGTGTCTTGAGATCACTGCGAATGCAAGAGCCGTGGGCCGTAGGCTGAGATCTCCATACTTCGGGAGCAGATCCGGGCTGCAGATCGAAATCACGGCTATGGGGCCGACGAGTCATCCAAGAAGGAGGATACAGCAGCGCCAAGAATGCAAGTCCTTGAGCGTGCTACACCTCGCAGGACTCATACCAATCGATCGAACAGCAATGGTACGACATCGTCAAGAAACGGGGAGTGCAATGCTTAATATCGACGGTGAAAGAAGCAAACCACCGCCAAATAAAAGCACTTCTGAGGCACTCGACGAGGCCAAGACATGCAAGAAGGTGTACAATCACATGTGCGAAAGGCAGGCACTCTAGGTCGCCTTGACCTCCAACATGCTTGTAAGCCCCATACCTGGCAGGATCACAAAGGAGCAGTCTTTGCTGAAAGAGAAGCTTGTCCTCATGGAGGCACTGGCAGAAAAGCATGTGGAGTGTATACCTTTGCTGTACGCCAGAGGCACATCTGCACAGAAAGAACTCCGAGTCCCGCAGGAAGGCTGGGTCCACGAGTCCGGGAGTAGTGCCGATTGGCTGTCTGAACGCCTTCGAATTTGTGCAGTTGTGCAGGTTGCGGTCCAGGAACGTCTGGTTCGAAAAGGGGCTCAGTGTTCGCAGGACCCGTGCTCGGCTGATCGACAGAAGCCGACGATGACGTGGCATGTTCCAGGACCTTGACATTCTGGAGCAAGACGTTGAGCACGAGAGGGTGGTGCCTTGTAGCCCTGCAGCTCTGCACTCTGCCTTCTAGCCTTCCAGTTCCTGCTAGATCATGGCGTTGCGGCTACACTGCTCCTGGAGAGGTACGCGATGAAGCGCTGACCAAGATGAATTCATGTTTGCAGGCCTGCTGTTGTGGCATGCAGAATGCAGACAGTCAAACGGCTTCGAAGTGAAGCCGATGTAGGCGAAAATCGATGCAAAGCAACGCCGGGAAAAGTTCGAGTGGTGGCGCCATGAGGTCGGCACCTTGAAGGGGCTCGTGTGCTTCTTGCTCAGAGTGCCCTTCGGGTCGACCTGCGCAGATCGCCCTGGATGCGGCCAACGAAGCCTTCAATGCCTCCGCCGGCCGTCTTCGCAAACTGTATGCAGCACAGCCGGCTGGAAACATGCGAAGGCCACAGCGCCACACCGCTCGGACAGCTCCTGCCAGGTGGAAAAGCTGGCAGGAAACTGCTTGCAGAAGGTGACTTTCGAGCAGGCAGCTTCGCCGTGAACTGCATGATGCACTTGCGGCCTCTGGAGCTGGCCATCGCAAGGTGGAGCGTTCGCAGAACACCGAGGATGGGTTTCAGAAGATCCGGGAGGCTGGAAAGGAAACTTGGAGCCACCGCGGGGATGGAACAGCTCTTGCAAGGTGACTGGCCTGGCAGATGTCATGGACATTGTTCACAAGCACCTCGTTTGCCTAAGACGGTGATGCAAGTGTGGTGGCAGCCGACAGCCTTCCAGTGCAGGTTTCTGAACAGGGACGTAGAACATGAGCAGCTGAAGAACTCTGTCAAAGAAGCAGAGGCCAGCCCCTCTATGCTGGCACACCCTCAGGCAGAAGTTGCAAGCCGATTCAGTCAGAAAGGTCCGTCTGGACAATCTGCGAGAGCAGTTCGAGCGCTTCAAGCGCGATACAGAAGGTGAAGGGCTAAGCTTCAAGCTATGGTAGGCAGTCTGGGCATCCGTGCATTTCGGCAACTTGCAACTTTGCGCTCAACCCCAGGCATCACCTTTGACACGGACACATCTGGCAAGTCCCGTGCCATTTACCTTGAGGCATTCCATGTCTGCCTGCAGCCGTCATGCAGCCTGCAGCCATACTCCGGAAATTCGAAGGTCGAGGAGCACGAAGCCAAGCTCAACTTGTTCCAAAAGGACAGACAAAAAAGCTTGCTCCCCTGTCCAGCTGAAGTCGTTTGCGAGCTAATGTCATGCCTAGGAGCATGAACAAAGCCGTGAGAAGCTCCAACAGAGCACGCTGCAGGCTGTGCTCGAAAGCACGCACCACATTGCATGTTCCAAGCCTCTACAGCCTTCGGCTTGCCTTCAGGTGGAGCACATGAAACGCTGGGCCAATCGCATGGGCAGATCTTTAGCAATGTTTGAGGACGGCGGTATGAGGGCGCTTGCA